GTCCACGCCGTGTTGCCGATCGCATTCAGGGCTGGGGCAGGGCATGCGCTCTGCTTGCTTTCCATTAGAATTTCGTTTGCCCAACAAGCAACGACCTCTGCAGAGAGGTTGAGAGCACGGAAACGCATCGTGCATGTAGTAGGTTCTTGTTGCTGCACTGCAACCGGCGGCCGGCCTCCAATACGATATCGGACCACATCAAATCTCTCGCGAACTTGATGTAGCTGCGTTGCAGAAGGAACACGGAGATTAAAGTAGTAGCAGAGCGAATCAGGAGTCACGACTCACAAGCACATGTACTAATACTCACTAATTAATGACCCACAGGTACCGGTATGACCCTCTGGATATAATGCGCCTAACTGTAACCAACCCCTTCACACGATCACACACGGGTTAATATCTAACACCATCTGTGTTTCCATGTAGTACTACCAACAAAAAAAACTTTATCTACGAGTATCACATGAAGTGTGTTCTTCCCCATTATGGAGATGTCTACCTCCCAGTCGAGTGTTTCAGAGGCTGGGAACACCTGATTTTTTTTACACATCTTCCTCCTTCCGCTGCCCGCCGTCGTCCGTCGCCCGCCGCCCCCGCCATGGCACGGTAGGGTCTCGCTGGAGCCCCGACGAGACCCTACCACGCCCACGGCGGCCTCCTTCTCCTTCGCCCACCACCGCCATCTTCTCCAACTCCGGCGAGCTTGGCCGCCGCCATCTTCTCCAACTTCGGCGAAACTCCCCTATTGTGACCTGGCCCGGCCGCCGCTACAACCATCAGGGCCCCTAAACCGCCTGACCACCATCCCCACCGCTTGCCCTGCTTGCCCTTCAATAGCCGTCATAGTTGGAGAAGAAAGAGGGGGAGAGGCTCGCCGGAACCCTAGCCACCGCCGGAGTTGGGGAAGACGGCGGGAGCGGGCACTCCAAATCCACGGCGGGCTCAGGAGCTAGGGAAGAATCTGATGGACTCCAAATCGAGTGTTGGATTGCTTCAAAACACTCGGTTGTGGTATAGCATTTCTGGAACTTTAACGGGGGTTATGCTTCGCTCGTCACAGAAAGATGGAAGCTGGATGCTTTTTTTTTTGCACCTACTAGAACGAGAGCTTCCAAACACCGAAACACAATTTCACCTAATAAAGGGCAAGGGGCTAGAGAACCACAAGAACAGAACAGAACAGAGCCCATGGTTCTTCTGAGAACTGAAGACAGCTGAAGCAGCAAAACTACAAAACGGCAGTTACTTTTTATAATCTTTCGACTTCGGACACATAAAAAAGAACAAAAAGCTAGTGGATCCAAGCATATGTATACTTGCAAAACCACTTATTTCTATCATCAAATCACCAGAAAAAAGAAGAATGCAAAAATAAAGAAAAAAAGAACATGAACAATCACCACCTAATTAACTATGTCTTCCTTCAATTCACCTCCTTCTGCACGCTTACTTTGTCCCCATGAGCCATGCCCAGCGCCCAGCGAGCTTCGACCACTCCGACCATTCAAATGTACACAACGGCGCGCGCCTGCGGCAGGTCCCTACCGTGGCGCGATCACCTCCTCTTGTTCTTGCTGCCGAGCACGAGGCTGAAGTAGAAGAGGATCCGGAAGAGGAAACCCCAAGCCATGGTCACGAGCAGGCACTCCCACTTGCCGAGCTGCGTCACCGCCACCTCATGCAGGACGCCGCGCCCCGTGACGACGCACGTGTCGGCGCCGATCCCGACCCCGAGCGCCGAGCTGATGGACGCGAGCACCCGGGCCTTCACCGCGTCCGGCAGCACCGCCAGCGGGGAGTTGTCGAAGATCTGCGCGCCCCGCGCGAAGCACTCGCCGCTGCGGGCGAACTCGTTCTGCAGCACGCCCTCGAACGGGTACTTGATCAGCGACAGGTAGTGGAACCAGATCCAGTATGCCGGGATACTGTCCCGGTTGATGAAGAAGCCGCTGAAGAGCAGGAAGTAGGCGAGGATGGCCACCACCACGGTGTAGCCGATCATCACGTGCGGTATCACGCCGGAGAGGAACGTGACGAAGCCGCTGCCGGCCCAGAACGACGCCAGGATGGCCAGCGTGTAGAAGGCGAACCCGGGCACGCCGCCCGCGAGGCCGACGGCGAAGAAGGTGGTGAAGGCGAAGGCGAGGGAGAGCACCACGAGCGGCGGGAAGGAGACGATGGCGTTGGAGAGCACGTAGGAGGCGCGCCGGTACGCGCCGTAGGCCGTCTCGCGCAGGAACACGTAGCGCTCATTGAGGAACACCGGCAGCGCGTCGGCGCAGGTGTAGAACATGGTGGACATGGCGAACGCGAAGAAGCCCAGCCGCTCCCGCGCTCCCTTGGGAGACTGGTCCAGCCGGAAGAAGACGGTGGCGAGGATCGCGCCCGTGACCACCACGGCTGCGAGGCGTATCAGGAATAGCTCGGGCATGCGACGCGTGTTGATCGCTGACCGCTTCGTCAGCACCTTCATCTCCACCCAGAACGGGTTGGCGTAGGTGTGCACGGACGCGGCCTCTCCGGCCACGTCCGAGCCTGACACCAGCTTCCCGCGCGAAATGCTCGCGCTGATGGCCTCCTTGAGCGACATCGTCGTTGGCGCCACCAACGACGACTGATCAGCGGCCGCCGAACCTTGTTGGCCAGGGCTCCGCGCGTGCATCTGCTGCCACGCGCGGTGGAAGTCGACGAGCGGCTTGGTCCCCGTGGGCGACGACTCGAACTCGCGGATCAGGTCGAGCGCGAACTCGGCGCGGTTCTCGTCGTCGGGCACCGGGAAGCCAAACTCGGCGAAGTAGGACAGGAGCGCGGAAGGCGGCCCGCTGAAGACTGTCCGGCCACCGGAGAGGAGGATGAGGCGGTCGAGGAGGCCGAGGATGCGCTGGCTCGGCTGGTGGATGGACGTGATGACAATGCTGCCGCTCTCCGCGATGCGGCGAAGCACCTTGACCACCATGAACGCGGAGGTGGAGTCGAGCCCCGACGTGGGCTCGTCGAGAAACAGGAGGATCGGGTCGTGAATGATGTCAGTGCCGATGGACACCCTGCGGCGCTCTCCTCCGGACACCCCGCGGTGGCCCTCGTCGCCGATGATGGTGTTGGCCGCGTCGCGGAGGCCGAGCTGGTCGATGAGCGCCTGCACGCGCGCGCGCTTCTTGGCCGGGGACAGCGCCCGCGGGAGGCGGAACTCGGCGGCGAAGGAGAGCGTCTCGGTGACGGTGAGCATGGGGAACAGCAGGTCGTCCTGCATGACGTACGCGGAGATGGACTTGAGGACGGTGCCCGTGAGCGGCTCCCCGTTGAGCGTGACGGCTCCCTTGAGCACGTCGCGGGATATGCGGTTGGCGAGCGCGTCGATGAGCGTGGACTTGCCGGAGCCGCTGGCGCCCATGACGGCCAGGATCTCGCCCTCCCTCGCCTCCCCGGAGACGCCGTCCAGCAGCGCCCTGGTGCGCGGCGCGTGCGCGTCGGGCACCGCGGCGGCGGCGGTGACGCGGTCGGAGCGGCGCTGGAGGGGCAGGCCGGCGGGCCCGCGCCCGCGCTGCTTGGCGCGGACGCTGTAGGTCAGGCTGCTGAACGCCAGGCGGAAGTGCACGGTCCGCCCGATGATGGCCGTCGCGCCCGCACCGTTGACGGCGCCGGCGCCTCCCGCCACCGCGTCATGTCCAGGCGTGGTGGGGAGCGGCAGCGAGAACACGGACGGGGAGCCGTCGTCGTCCGCAGCGGCCGCCGGGTCGACGGTGGCGGCGCCGACGAGGCGGAGCATCTCGGCGAGGGACGGGTTCCGGCCCCTCTCCCGCACGGGCGGGGGTGGCGCCGGGGGCGAGGCTAGAAACGGGAGACGGTCCTGCACGGCGGGCGCCATTGCATGCAAGCACGCAGACGCAGCGCAGACTCGATCGATAAGCCTTGGCGTACGTACGTGCTGTGCTGCTGCACTTTCTCTTCCCACTGGCGCAAAAGCGAGCGAGCCGAGCTTAAGTAAAGGTGCGGGTGCGGGTGCGGGTGCGGGTCCAGTACCAGTACGTGGTCCGGCCCGTCCGCGGGAAGTGTGGCTTTCAGGAGAAGGCCGGGCTGAGGTGGAAGGAAACGGAGAGGGGGCGATGCGGCCGGGGGGTGGTGCTGGGCTGATGGTGTAGGAGACGGGATGGTGGCCAACGCGCGGGGTGATGCCGCTGCCGCCGGGGAGTGCCATGGTCAGCGACTCAGCGGGGACCGGGGAGAGTTACGGGGGGGAAAGCCGGGAAGGGGAGGGTGGGTTAGCTGGCTTCCACGTCGAATCGGTGCAATTTAGGTTGGGTGGGTGACGAGATGCGGAGGATTTAGGAAGGAAAACGGCAACTTGCATGCATTGGGTACCAGTATATGTATATTCTTTTGGGATCTTCTGCGGGGTGCAAGTACTCTACACGTTCCTGTTTTAAGCATGCAGAAAAAGGGCCTGCTTGGATCGGATCCAAAAGTTGCCCTGCCAAAACTAGGGCATGCCAAATTTGGTTGCCAAAACTTTGGCAAAAATTTTGGTATACCACTTGGTTGGGTGCCAAACTGGGACAGCCAAAATTTTGGACCTTGATTGGTTTGATGCCAAAATATATATGCCAAGGTCCATGATTCAATACCTAACACATACAATTATCTAATAATCACAGTATGCATCACAGATTAAGTCCAGATAGCATATTACTATATTATGTGCATGTACAGATCATCATATACACCCATCTTCATCTAAGAAGACCACAACATAATATCCACTGTGCTAAAATAATACAACGAGATACTGAAATCCTAACCATACAAACAAGTTCATATGCTGACGACATGAAGCACGTCCAAAATACCCAAAATAACACCAGTTTAGTCAGTGCATCCATATGCTTTCCACCTGAAGCATGGCCAAAATACCACAAGTCTCAGCACCCATATTCACATACAGCTACCATATTCATAGCATACCCACTGCCACAAGTCTGAGCATACATATTCACATATATTCACATGGAGCTACCATACTCACCATCATCCACACCAGTAACACGATACTTGGCACCTAGGTAATCAGTGACCCAAGTTCCAAATGACTGGTCTGATGCAGCATTCAAGTAGTTCCGCAAATGAACCTGCTCCGGCTTTGAAAGGTAGGTCGCAATGTCAACCTTGTCCCTCGGTGGGAAAGGTATATCCTCAATACGCTTCCAAAGATCAGCATACGGATCTGTAGCCAATATACCACTGAAGCATGAACTTGGTGCTGTCATCGGTCCATGTTTTGTACTTCTGACGAGATCCAGCATCTGCATTCCCATCTTTCTTTTCCTTACCCATGCTAAGAATACATTTTAAAAGTAAGTAACAAACATTATTAAACATATAATAAATAATGTTTTGTTTGATAGAAAGAAAGGTAATCCATTAAGCATAACAATAATATTATTTACACGCGTACAAGCAGCAGTATAGTCTAAAGTTGATTACACACCCACCAAACTACATAAAACCAAAAGACAGCAGCAAGTACTAACTAATTGTCAATGGTAACATCATTATTAAGTCTATCATTCCACATTTGTTGGGCAATTGAATCATGCTTCGTAGCCCACTCACGTACATCAGCCTATCGATCGGAGACACTATTCTTACTCCTTGGTAGGTGATTGTACCAAGTTGGCTCATCATATATGAACTCATCAGGTCCATCGTCTATTATCCAATTATGAAGGGCACAACAGGCAATGACCACCTTGGCCTGTGACTTCAAGGGTATGAATGGCTTGTTGCTAAGAATCTTGAAGCGATTCTTGAGAGCACCAAATGCTCGTTCAACTGTTGTCCTAAGTTGGGAATGACGGTGATTGAAAAGCTCTTTTGGACATTTTGGGTCTTGGGCTCCGTGAAACTCTTTTAGGTGATAGCGAACTCCACGGTAGGGTGGTAATATGCCTGGCCTAGTGGCATATCCAGCATCGGCCAAATAGAACTTCCCTACAACCAAAGTTAACATAATGCCTAATGTGACGTCATAACGGTGAGACTATGTCACAATTTTCAAAATCCATGAATACCTTCAGGAATTTTCAGTCCATTTGGACGAGAAAGGGCATCTTGCAGCACGAGAGAATCATGAGCGGATCCCTCCCACTCTGCTAGGACATAAGTAAAGTGTAGGTCGAAGTCGACAAGCTGCTAGGACATTTTTGTGTGGGTATGACTTATGGCCCTAAACCTGTCCACAGATTTAGCAGGCACACATGCCTTGATGTGAGTGCCATCTAGTGCCCCTATACAACCCTATGTACAGAGACAAACATGTGTCAAAGCACTTATATCTAAAATTGCATATAAAAGATAAATTGCTTACACTATTGAGAGTTACCTCAAAATATGGATAGAACTTGTTAGGACTCTCAGTGATCTTTGGGTGTGTGGATATAGATCTCACATAAATTAGCTCAGGAGCTAACTTGACAATGGCACGCAGGACGGTATTAAAGTACGTACTCACTGTCCATCCCGATCTCCACATTGCTATTACTCTGAGAGAGGAATGTGTGTGGTACTGCCTTAACAATCTTCAAAAAACATTGCCAGCTGCTCCTCTCTTTGAAACATGAAGTGTGTCAACTAATAGTCCCCTCTCTCTAAGCCGAGCACAAAGCTTGTAGAATACAGGCCGGGACATCCTGAGCTCACGCATACATATTCTGTCCGAGGTATCAATCAACCTAATTAGCTCACTACTACGCCATATATCCCTTTGCACCAGTGGAGCATACTTTATGCGTTTGGTTGTACTCCTCTTGTGATTTTTGTTCCTCCACCACAAGGCCAGCAGTAGAACAAAAAAAGCTAGGGCCTTTTGCCTCGACATACAGCAACAGAGGAATTTTTGTTGAACATTGCCAATCAAGGTGTAGGCGTGTAGGCAATGTGCAGGAATAAAAAATGAAAAATAAAATGCAAAGCATGTATCAGCAGCAAGTTAATTAAAATAACTTTTGATATACACAAGCATAAATGGCAAAGGAAGTAGTACTTGGCATGTATAGTAGCCAATAAATTATATTACTTTAGTGAACGGGCCGGTTTAACAAACTAATATATGCAACTAAACTAAAGTGATTTGAACTAACGCATTACGATGTGGAGCATCAAACAATTGTCGATTATATCTAGATTTTTTAACGGGCAAGGTGAATTGTTTAACCATCATATAAATAATGCTCAAATCTTAACAGAGGAATATGCAATGGGCTTATGCGGTTGGGAATCGACTATCTCGAGGAACAACAACTACAATCGTAGTAACTTGTCTGTAAGCCCTGTAGCCATGCTGAGAGACTCGAGAGAGAGACCAAAGGAACTCGATTTGAAAGATTTTACCTCGAGGAGTGGACCAACGGATCTAGTGGGCGATTGCCTCTGGTACGTTTTTCTCTCTCGCACTTTGTTGCAAAGAGATCGTAAACGGATGATAGATTAGACACTCATACCTAGAAAATAGATGGAGGATTGAAGGAGGAAAACACTGCTAGTAGGAATAGATGGATTAATCGGAGATGAGAGGCCACCAGATGAGGGAAGATGCTCCTTGTTCCCCAACGGATTAAGGGATCTGTTATGAAGGTAGGGATGGAAGGATATGTCCCTTTAATCTGTGATAGGAACAGTGATGGACTAGGGGATCCCATGGATTGGTGGAGGTTGGGACCGGCACAAAGCGACGGAGGAGATAAGTGGCGGCGGCCGTGAAAAGTGACGACGGAGAAGGAGGGATTAGAGGGAAGTGGTGGGCTCTTTGTGTCCGTGGGAGGGTGTAAAATAACGAGGGCAATAGGAGTCTTTGTGAAGGCAGCCAAAATATTGGCGCCGACGTCTCTCGTGTCCACCGCCGATTCGGCTGGAAGGTTCGGCGCACCAATTCTTTGGTTTCAAACCAAACGAGCGCCAAAGGTTTGGGACTGCCGTGGATTTGGCCGGGCGGATTTTGGACAGCATCCAAGCAGGCCCAAAAAGCCTTGGTTTGGTGGCTTGTTTAAAACAGCATCCAATGTTTAAAATATGTAGCCTTGGCAGAGTTGCGCCGTACAGTTAGTTCGTCTAGATCTTCTTGGCTTGGTTAACATATCGCATAGGCTATGATCACTGTCAATGTTCTAGAGCGTGTTGATATGAAAAAGCGATAGGAAGCAAATGGAACGTTAGGTTCAACATCTGATGACCGCATTTCGATGTTTGAATGTCAGAACTGCTTGGATGCTGTCCAAAATCCGCCCGGCCAAATCCACGGCAGTCCCAAACCTTTGGCGCTCGTTTGGTTTGAAACCAAAGAATTGGTGCGCCGAACCTTCCAGCCGAATCGGCGGTGGACACGAGACGTCGAGCGCCAGTATTTTGGCTGCCTTCACAGCACTCCTATTGCCCTCGTTATTTTACACCCTCCCACGGACACAGCAGCCACCACTTCCCTCTAATCCCCTCCTTCTCCGTCGTCACTTTTCACGGCCGCCGCCACTTATCTCCTCCGAAGAGGGTGCTAGACTGCCATTGATTATTTATTTAAAAAAAAATAGGAGTACTACTTATGACAGCAGGTCAGCAGCTGCAGTATATGGGCCGGCCGGCCCGTGTGCCTTGATGGTAAACCAATTTGGTTACGATGTTAGAACATTTCGCTGCATCAAATACATCCATCTCAGTTGTTACCCTAAACTTGCTGTGACAAAGATTCTAAAACGAATGCCCTCTACTGCACCGCGCATATAATGAACTTTCCAGGGTTGGTACGTCCCGTATGGCCGTATAAATGCATAGGTTTCGTTCCCAGTACGTATCACTCACAAAGTCGCAGCACCCCCACAGGCCACATGGATACGCGCAGCAAGCTTATACAAGTAGCAGTAAAGCCTATAAAAGCGCATCCCCTTTTCCGGACAGGGAAGCCGAAAGCAACGGATAACCGCGGTACAATATAAGCCTCCCGCGTAGTCGCATGATCGCATCGCCTGACGCAAGCGCAAGGAATGGAACGCCGACACCTCAGACATCCATAAATTCCCACGACTCCGGCCAACTTCGGCTCGCAATGGCGATCGCATGCGCTTGCATAACCCACACTCCCCCAGTCCCCAAGAGCACATTGCACACATGACAATTGACAGGTCCGTGGCTCCGTGCCACACTGGCAGATTAATTCTCGTTCTGTGGTAAAAAAAAGGTTTTTTATTCTCATTGGCCCCATTCCTCCGCTCGGTTGCCTCGGGCGCAGGGTGGCGGTGCCTTTGCGCACCGCATCTACCGCGCCGCAGCCGCTGGAACGAACCTGGCATCACGCGACGCCATCACTGTGCCGGGCCACGCGCGGCACGGAACCAAGGTCCCCCGCCAACCTTGCCGTCCGTCTCGTCTCGGCAGCGGCGTGGCAGCCGCCCGCAGGGCACTGCTTCCCGGAGCTGGTAACCCCCCCGCCGCCCTGTGGGGTGGTGGACTGAAGTTAACTACCGACAGGACACCGCGGCAACCAGGCGGACCGCGAGCAGAACGGCCCGCCCAGCGCGCGTCCATCACAGGCTCTGGCCGTGCATGGGTGGATACGATACGCCGCGCGTGGTCATCAGGCTGTGGCGTGCCGCATGAGGGGCGGTGGACACGCCGCGCGGTGCAGCTTGCCTAACCCATCCTGGCTGCCCTACTGTTAACTCGAGCGGTCGGATCTCGAAAGTCGAAACGAATCAACTCGCGGACAATCCGTAAAAACCGGTCTAGCCACTTTCCAGAATCGGTCCAGCTGTTTTTGAGCAGATTGGCCTAGACACTTTAGGAACATCTCTCAGAACCATCTATAGGGAAGACGCAACAAAGGTGTTCGTTCTATGGTCGAAAGATCAATCCACGAATCTCATCGAGAGAAGCCTAGAACAAAAAAAAAATGGGGTTGAAAGAGATTACGATTTAATATGTACATGAAGTAGATGTATTTGTTTTTGGATGTTCATGTTTATAGCGTAGGATGGTTTTATCCCGTTAGAAAACATTTACAACTCTAACACCTGTATGAATCCTAACTTTCACTTAGATAGATAGATTCTACTAGAGCCAGCTTAGACCCTATTTGGATCCCAGTCCAAAGTTAACCACTAAATTTACTTTAGATCCAAACAGATGGTCTAAAATCTAAAGTTTAGCTACCTTATAAAAAGATCATTAGTTCATTAGACCACACAAGTGAGCTAATGTGGTCTAAAGTTTAGCCCTTAACTTTAATCTACTAAACTTTAGACCATGTAAAGCAAACTGGCTAAGCGGAAGTACAAGAGGGATGGGGCCATCTATCGTCGATAAGATACAGATCTTCTCAGGAAGGGCCTGAAGTTGGCCCACAAAAAAGGGAAGAGGATGAGGTGCATTCTCAGTAGTAATAATTTGTTAACGGCGCAGCGGTAGTTACGTTCCAATGACCGTTCACGGAACTTCCCACTGCTGACGACTACGTGCACATCCTTGATTACTCTGGATAAGTATTTGGGATTGTTTTTAGGCAAAGTATTTGGGATTTCAGGTAAGGGTTTGGGGACGGAGGTATCAAGACACCGATCCTCCAATCAGGCGCTTATTATTCATGGTGCCCGTTGGAGCCAGGCAGAACGGGCGGGCAATGGCAGTACCTCAGTAGTCCCAGGGACGACGCGAGAATAAACTTCGACGGAACCGATGCTGCATGGCTGCTTACATGGTTTTAGAGACTACAAGAAACTGCAGTTTTACAACTATCAACGTGCATCCAAACACTTCATGTTAGATGTTACTCTAAAACCAAAGTATTTCACAAAACCATAGTATTTTTTTTCTAAAACTCTAAACATGCCTTATATCCAAACAGGGCCAAACTGTTTGTTTTAAGTTTCTAGCTTCTAGCTGGCGGTAGAACTGAAAAAAAGAAAGTGCCGAAATCTCGATTTCTATAGCTCATAGTTAGCACTCAATTTTATATTAGAGATTCCAAGCTGTAAAGGTTTTTGAGTTCGTAATTGATGTAAAAGTTTATTATTGGTGTACTAAATCGATATATATCAACGCTGTACTAGTGAGGCAATCACTACAAATTCCTTAAGAAAAAGCGAGAGCATCTGAAACATATTCATAGGCAAATCAAATACATCGATAAATATCAACATTGTGCTAGCGCATCTGAAACCAATGTTACACTTTTCGTTAACCAAGGAGCAAGGACACATGTGATATCAGTGGAACCGGGAAGTTAATAGAAAAACTAGTCAGGAAATCACTGCAAATTCCTTAAGAACAATCGCAATCATTGTCACGTGTATCCATAGATATTTTGGACAACGAATACTGTTCCACTGCTGTAATTATAAAACCATTCTTAAATTTCCATCTATGCGCAGCATGCAACGAGACAAAATAGCAACAAGCAAAACTGGACGATAACAAACACTCTCTTCGCCCTGGACATGGAATGATCTACAAGAAGCCACAAGCTTCTTTCACTTGTTCACTTCTGCTCATATAGTCATATTAGTAAAGCTTGCAAATTTTAACTGCAACCTTGTCCAAAACAACATACATATATATAAACAGGGACCATTTATAATAAAGTTGTAAACTAAATTCAAATCCATGGATAGAAATGGCCCATTATTTAGTTGTACTGCAAAGACGCCAATTGTAGCCAGGGGGGTGATTACTTATGTTTCCAGTGATCAATAGCTGAGCTCCACACGGTTGCAAAACACAGATGATGTGAGTCCGACTAGCATAAAAAAAAATCCCAGAATTTTTTTTCTTTTACAGATGAAGTGTGGGCCTGGTGCAAGCGGTAGAGTCTTACCGCCTGTGACCGGAAGGTCCCGGGTTCGAGTCGCGGTCTCCTCGCATTGCACAGGCGAGGGTAAGGCTTGGCACTGACGCCCTTCCTCAGACCCCGCACAGAGCGGGAGTTCTCTGCACTGGGTACGCCCTTTACAGATGAAGTGAAAAAAAAAGAGGACAAGAATGCTAGCCTTTTCAAGTTCCTATGAACTATGTTCTGTAATCTGTGAAGGATCAGAGACAGTGTCACCAGGACGCGTACAGATTAGTATAATAAACTGAATCGGTTTGAACACATTTCTCAAAACATATACATTTGAGATCTGGCTGGCAAAGTATCTGATAGACTGATATAATTCCACCTAACATAACTCTGAGCAGGTCATTCACACCAGTTTAACGCATCCCTCAGGATTTACCTTATCAGATACTAGAATACAAATGGATGGAGACCAACACGAACAGCCAGTGATACAGCAGTATCAGAGCACAATGTGTGACTACAGAAAGTCACCCCTACTTGCATGTATTCTGTCCTGGATACCTATTTGTTTCATGTAACAGTGGGTTTCTTTCATCTATCTTTCGAGTTTCTACTTTGCATTAAGAGAATTTACCTCTACTGGTATTGGCAAACATGCAGTAGTGCAGCACCTCCAAAGACCAGTGCAAAAAGAGGGGGGCAGGGGGTCACTCACCAGAACATAAATTTTATGATGATGCACGTGTCAAAAAGTCATCCACAGCCAGAGATGCATCGCCATGAGAAACAGCATTCTCAGTTTCCGGCAAGTACAAAGAGGTAGAAGAAACCTGTCAAAAGAAGTACAATATCAGTGTGCTGCTCAAAAGAATCACAATATATCAGGACATAACAAAGTAACAAAACACAGTGCAATGCATGATCCTGGACTGCCTGGTTCAAGGTTTACCTTTGTGTCTATCTGTAATTCTCCGTTGTTATCTACTGAAAGAATAGCACCATGTGCTTTTAACCATTCCTCGCATTCTTCCAGTCCATCAGCTCCATTAGCCTCACAAACTTCATCAATTCCCACAAATCCCAAAACCCGTGCTGCGTATCTAACTGGTACAGTTGGGCGATATGACTTGGACATGCATTTCATAGCCACAAAGCGCATTCGCTCCACATAGAGATCTGTAATCCAACAACACAACGGAAAACATCTCAATGTATGTGCTACTGAAACAGTCAGTCCAATAGGGCAATAGATATGTATGTGTTTAGCTATACGACTGAGAGAAAGATCATCTTTACCCATAAGACATGAGTTCAAGTTGGGTGCCATCTTGTACAATTTGAAAAACAGGACATAGTTGCCAGACGAAAAGGCATAACGAACTTCAAGGGCATGCTTCACAGCTGTGTCTTTCTTGGCTTCCTTTGGCAAGCTGAAACAAATACATGCATCAAGGGCTCAGGTAACAATAAGACTAACAGAATCAAATATCCTCCTATTATGTGGTGGTGGAGCCAGGATTTCTGGAAAGGATACAGAGCTGCAAGGCTCTGCCACTGCTATTGCAACATTCATGATTTTACTATGCACCAGATATACCTTGCCATAGATGAAAGCAAATCTCTTTTGTTATTAGAGTGCACCAGATATAGCAAGTTGTAAGCAGAGAATTCGAGGTTGCAACCCTTGACTCCTTCTCCATAGCATCTCCTCAACTGAGATTGGCACTGCAAAAGTTACAAAGAAAACAATTAAAAACTAGGCTGTTATATTCACAGTTAAAAGAAACCAACACAACTACAAACAACCAGGAATTCAGAAACCAACACACAACTACAACTACAAAAAACCAACATGGATAGTCAGGGGCGGATCCAGCAGTGGGGGCGGGGGGGCTCAAGCCCCCCCTACCCATCCCGAAACAGTGCAGATTACTGTAGAGTCCCTATGAATTTTTAGGCAAAGTTCTATAGTGTAGGGGGGGCTGAGACTTAAGATCGAGCAGCAGTGTTGTTCAGCCCCCCCTAAAATATTTCCTGGATCCGCCGCTGTGGATAGTGGTAACTATTATTTATTTTTTATCTACCTTAATGAAATGACACGCAGCTCTCCTGCGTAGCTCGAGGAAAAAAAAAGATGGATAAGCTAATACTAAATGCAATTACATGGTGTTTGTGAAAAGACTGGCAAACACCTACTGTTTTGTACAATGTGGAAAAACTCATAAGATCCAGTTGCCCTTGAATTTAAAACCAACACTAATCACGTATATCACTGTACAATTGCTTGTAGTAGCAAGTATTCCATCTGTTTCTTTCTATAGGGCATGCTATTTCACCATTTATTGCAAAATATAAGTTGTGCATGTGAATTTATTGACGTCTACCTTGTTTGCCCTTATTGCACATTATCACTAGCATTTATAAGTAGCATCTTTTCCCTTGGCACGATGCAACTAGGATAGCAGAATAGCACGTGGTACATGAATATTGTAGTTATTTACACAATAAAATAAATCAGAACAAGACAGGCAAACCTGATTATATTCAGCTAAATCTCCAGATTGGATAGCTAAACGTGCATGGGTTTCATAAACCTGAAACAAGAGGTCAAAATGTTACAAGGGAATCAATCATGCAAGGAAATAGTGCCCTCAAAAAATAAGAAACAGAGCACATGATTCAACATTCACTTAATAATTTTCTGGTGGGTTAAATATTAAAAAAGGAATAGATAAAATAAACCATGTGGTGAATCTCTTCCTCAAGGAAAATAGTAAGGGAGCCACATAGTTTATATAATGTTTATGTAATTATCAAACACCACAATGCAGCATACTACAAGGGGCTATGGAGACTACCTTGACAGTCAGCTCGCTCTGAATCCTCTGAACAGTAAGGTCTTGCCGAATAGACTTCAGTTGATCACATTTGTAAAGATAATTCTTTTCTGATGTTTCAACCATACAAAGAGCCTTCTCTAGGACATCTTCTGGTCGTACCTGCACAAGGAGTCAACGAGTAAAAAAATTACCTAAGAAACAGAAAAAAAATAAAGCAGTTACTTCTAGTAACATGTTTTCCTGCCTACAATTGACATGACAATTAGCAAGGCATCCTCACTGTGGCAGGGTCGGGCGCACTTGTAAGGCGTAGGTATGGTTTCTCAATTTGCTGGCATGTTCCCTTGATTGTCAGTGCATCCCAATCATAATCCTCCACTGCCAAACCAGCACCGTCCCCATTACTTCTATTGAGAAGCAGTGACGTAGCTCTACTTGTATATATGTTGTCTGTGGCATCCTTATCTGGTACAGAACTTCTAGATTTTGATGGTGTGCCTTGACTCTGTTCAAATCGCTTAGATCTATGTTCCCGCCGTTTCTTTTCCTCAGGTGAATTTGCTTGTGCAATTGAACTAGTGTAGTATTTCATTAGACCCTGCTCCTTGTCACTGTCACTTGAGGCATTTCCATTTTCAGTAAGACTTGCATCACCACCAGTTCGCTGCATTTTAGTAGGCCTATGACTGTATTGGCTTAAAGGAGATTGGCGGGATTGGACATGCTTCCTCAGATCCCAACTGTTACTCTGCAATTTATTCCCCAGAAATAAATTCAGGCATAAAAACAAGCTTGGGGTGATGGCTATATTCAAAGTTGCAGTTTCAAAAATGGAAGGGATGACAAAAATGTGAAGCCGGCCCAAAGGTTTACCATTCTTTTAGTGGGTTCCAAACTACTGCAGATATTAATTTTTGCCAACTCATTAGGAAGTTCCACATTGTTAGCAACATTTTCCTCTGCAACAGGCTCCCACCTACTTTTTGCGACAGGCTCCCACCTACTTTTTGTTCGCCTACTAGGACTCCTCGATGATGAGAAGGGACTTGAATCCTTCCCATTGCTGCAAAAAACCAAAAAGAAAGTAAATATTCCCTCCGGTTTCAAATGTAGGTTGTTTTAGATTTGTCGTAAATCAAACATCTTTAGCTTTGGCCACCAATAGCTAAAAATATAAATAGATTTACAACATAAGGTTGATGCTGCTAAATTCATATGAAAAGTAATTTCATAATATATAATTATCGCAATTTGAAATATGACATCCTATAGAAATTGCCAGCAAAGTTTAACCTCGTAGACCATGTCAATGTCCAAAACGACTTACATTTGAAATTAGAGGGAGTATTAGCTAATTGAAATAGGCTCGGCTTCAGAGAGTTTTTGAGTTCAGCCTAATGACATGCATACTGAAAAAAGGAAAGGCTCTTAACCTTTACGTAAATACAAAAAATATCAATGAGATTGCTTAAGCAGAAGCATTTTGGACAGCTTCAACATACAGACAATACATATTATAAACTGCATTAAACATTCCCAAAGAATATTACTAGTGTAGGGCATAACACAATCATATCATTGTGGGTTACTGGCTTACTGCAGTCCTACGAATCCATCAAAAGTTAACACAGCTAATAGAAAATATAGAGTTAAGACCAGCACACCTAGTCATATTCATGCTTGTAGCCTTTTCTGGCAAAGTAAATAGTGGTTCAATGTCCCAGTTCTTCGTATGAAGGGTCCCATCAGCAGTTGCCTTCGTAATTATCTGAAGTTATCAGAGGCAAAAAAGAGTTACCCCAAATAAAAGTTGAATTTAAGGATGGAAGAAATATAATACAAATAAGGCAACCTAGTGGATCAATAATTTTCTAACTTTAGAGTTGAAATGTGAAGACACTTATTTTCCTCTAATGTGGTAAATTCCATAGTTGCACAAGACAACTTATTTAACATTGTTAATCACATGCTCATAGCTAATAGCCAACCAAAAAAATGACCTTGCAGAGACCGGAATAACTTCCTTTTTTCTAAAAAAAACAAAAAAATGATTTTGTTTTTCTCATGGAACTGATGGAATATTAATAATAAATTGGCATATCCAGTTCAAATTTATATTCTTTAGCAAGTTTATTTGGAGTTAAAATATTTCTGTTTTTTTTTCTCAAAGGCAAATTTTCTAAAAGTTGCTATCAGTGGTGCTTTAGAGACCTGATCTTTCTTATACAAATAGCTAATGCAAGCAAAATGGATCAAAGGACGCAACAATATATGATATACCTATATGACAAGCAAACTAAAGCAAATAAAATGAAATTACTTAGCCTCCTTCAAGATACTCATATTTCTGTTTTTGTTTCTCAAAGGCAAATTTTCTAAAAGTTGCTATCAGTGGTGCTTTAGAGACCTGAACTTTCTTATACAAATAGCTAATGCAAGCAAAATGGATCAAAAGAAGTAACAATATATGATTTACCTAAATGGCAAGCAAACTAGAGCAAATAAAATGAAATTACTTAACCTCCTTCAAGATACTTCGGCTGGCAGTCCTCTGGGCATCATCCTTGCAACGGGCAAGATTCCGCTCAACATAAGTACGAAGTGAAACAGGGAAAGATCCCTGAATAGAATGAAATATTGTCAATACGTTAATGAATATGATGATGTCAAAAATGTTGTGCATGTTGCCATATTACAGAATTTATTCATTGAAGGTCTTAACTCTTTAACTATCAGAAGTTTTAGTATGAAAAATTCCGTGGGAGCCAGGAGTGTATAATATTCTAATATAAGAACAAGAGATTGCTGGCAGTATTTCGGTTTTGTAGTGCATATAACATTTTATAGTGTTTCGCTGAGCATATAACAAGTGAGGATTCACCTTGGATGCATCATCATGTAGCATCAATGCATCATCCATCAACAAAAAGAATGAAGCAGAGCTTACCGTAAACCTTAGCTGTATGATTGTATCAGCAAAACAGAATGAAATTAAAGGAACCTACCGTCACCTGCATTACTGCTTCAGAACCATTTTGTGAGACCGTCACATCATTCTTGGGCATGGAAACACAAACATAAGCAGGTTTCAGGGATGAATCAGCTTCCAACTTTGACTTATCCACTTGAGGCGTTCCTATTGGAAAATCTTGGGCTATTCGAGGATTTGTTGAGATCTGTATTTTGTTTAACATGTGGACATTCGATGACAGAGAATCTTGCCAAGGTGTCTCAGGGTTTTCAGAAACATGGTTGACTGAAGAAACATTTGAGCTTGAACCATGTAAAGGCAAAACCTTTTGTTGATCAACTTGGTTACTTAGCGGTAGCTGATTATGATTTGCAGAACTATGCTGGTATGCTAAGCTGACACACTGGTTCTGAAATGTTGGGATACCTGCTGCGTTGTTAACATAATGGGTGTGAAACATCGGTGCAACTGGGACCTGGGAGGCATACTGGTTTTGATATCCTTGAATGCCTTGTTCCTGGGAAAATGGATAGTTAGAATTTCACAAAACCATACTAAAACATAGAAAAACATGGTACAGCATATAAATAACAAACACAGTTATGCCCCCACCCCCCACCCAACCAGAAAAGGAAGAAGTGATTATCATACTCATAGGCCCTTTTATGTTCCGTTTTCAATTGGCCTTTATCTTGTTTAAATGGACGTTTAGCCCAAATAATGGATAAACGGACTGTTTAGCATTTAACAAAACACAAATGGACTGTTTAGAGTTTAGCAAAACACTGTCCATAGGCCAAGAACACATGATGAATCAGAAGAACCATCCAAACAGAACTTCTAAGTTTGCTTTGCAGAACTACAACTTCTAGAAGCTACATAGATGCTAGAAATGCAAGCCAAAAGAAGATATGCAAGCTTGCAGAAAAGGGCAACCAACCAACAAAATTTAAGGACCAGAAGAGGAAACAACTGATTTGAGACAGACAATATATATGCTGCAAATAGAATGCCATAGATGTTTGCCTTGGTGTGGCAAAATCCAAGTCAGTGAGGTTGCAGCATATGCAGTCAAACAAAGCGAAGCATACAGAACAATCCCCAAGGACAAGCTGCATGGAGGTTCAGGAGCCTTTGCATGCAAAAGGCAACAAGCAAACTATTCTTAACTTTATAATCGTTTGACAAATAGACTAGCACAGAAAATGACAGAAATATTTGTAGGACATGTATTCCTCAATACAAAAATCCATTGAAAGAAGATGAACCAAGAGGCTGTCTTTTTTTTTTTTTTTTGAAAGGAACCAAGAGGCTGTCTGGAACACAAGAGTTTCACAGGTATAGTTCAATTCCAGCACGAATCTGGTTACATTACAGTGACCAAGACAGGACTAACAAGATATATGCAACAGAACAAGAAACTCTAGGGTTGCACATAACCAAGGTGACAGCTGTCTAAAAGGACAACTGACCATTTCATTGCTCTAAATATTAAAATGAAAGGAAAGGAAGCAGGACACTAACAAATTTACCTGTGAGGGGGGTGTAGTAGTGTTACCAGCATCATTCTTCCATGAGGTAGTGCCTGGTGGAGGTGGCTGGTTGCTGGTGTGTGCATAATTGGAATCAATGGTAACAGTTTTTGTATCAGGAGCAGTGCTACCACTGCCAGTAACTGCAAGGCCACCTGAAGTCTGTGCAGACTGATCATAATAATAAGCCCATTGGCTGTACTGCTGTTGATAGTGGACAGAGCTTGTGGGTAGTGAACTGGAACTCTGGGCTACATTACTATCTGGGATGCAACTCTGATATGATTGTGCATGATTATTTACACAACTTCCATTACCCCAGGTATTGTTTTGATGATAATAATAATTGCTTGTTGCATATCCTGGCACAGTCTGATGAGCGCCAGCAGTATAATATGTGTTACTTGTAGGACCAACATAAGATCCTGAATTCGGAAACGAAGTATGAGGCTGGTAAGCGGCACCTGGACCTTGATCAACTCCTCGTTGAACAGAAGAATCATTTGCCGCTTGTGGATAGTTATAGTAATGGTTTGGATGTTGTACAGCATTGTAGTCCTGTTGAACCGATGTTGGATAAGGCACATAGGAGTTAGCCGACTGAACCACATGAGATTCACTATTTGTCACACTTTGAGTAGCTCCTGAAACTGATACATCCCTCTGGGGATCATAGTAAACTGAATTTTGATTTATACTATCCATCAAATAGTACAAGAAAATCCCAGTCAAAGAAAAGCCAAAAATGATGGCCAGGAGGTAAAGATGGGTACGGAGATGGAATGGTTTGCTCCAAGCTCCTGCTCTGTTAATTAGGAAAAACAACCAGAGAAATCATTGTCAGATCAACATCAATACAAAACAGCATATCTGGAAGAACAAAACGACTATGGAAAGAAATTTTGAACCCCAGGTTCATGGTGGGAGCATGGAAGTCACCACAAAGGCACTGCTTGTTTACTACCGGACCATAAGGCCATGATAAGTAATACTAATCAACCAGTATGGCCAGCTTCAAAGACAAGGACCAGGAAGCAAATATGCAGCAACAAAGAATTATTTCCTTGCTATTATAACATGTGATCAGCCCTAAAGAAATTGTAACAAAGCTAACTAACGACAGGATATGATACTGGCTGACCCTGACTTACGGTTTCCGCATGCGCCAAGAATTGTTTCTGATACTGCAGACAGTGAAATTCTTCCGCTGTTATCATTATTATCTATTTAATGGTAAACTCATGTAAGTCATGGTAGAATCAACTCGCTTGCGATGGCGCGTTGTTAGGTGACAGGATAGTGATTGCAGTTAAACTATACTATAGTCAAAAGTACATAACTACTAATATACTCCCTTCATTCCAAATTGTAAGTCATTTTAGCTTTCTCCTAAGTTAAACATCTATAACTTTGGCCAAGTTTATAGAACATCAAACTAGATTCATTAGATACACCATGATATGTATTTTAGTAGTGCATTTATTTGATATTGTAGATGTTAACATTTTTTATATAAAATTTGCTCAAAGTTAGACAAGTTTGATTTACGACAAAATTAAACCAACTGACAGTTTGTAACGGATGGAGTAGAATTGAAATAGAAGAAGGACAAAAAAATCGCTCCATATAGACAAATGCTGCATTAAGCAAGATTTAAGTAATATCCAAGCATCAGTAATTCTACAGGCAGTTCTACTGCCCCTTGTTTAGCCATATACTCTAGAACCTTGCTATTCTTATCTAAGAGCGAATCATTTTTAGCAAACTGTAAAAACGGCGAGTGAAGAAGATAACGCCATACATCTAGCAACAAGCTGTAGCCAAGTACACCTAAGCGTGGCTGAAGTGCCACGGCCTAGCATAGAGGATGTTTGACTGGAGTCGACTGGAGGCGGCTAGCAGGGATTTGGCGGGAGCATCTGGCGAGAGGCGGCTCGGCGGCGGGAGATTAGGTTTAGAGACGCAATTGGGGAACTAGGGAGGCGAACAGAGCTGTCTGAGGAACGAAGGAGACGGCCGCGGGCTCGCGTACGCGTTGGGGTTACTGCCTGCCGACTGCCGTGACGGCGTAACCTGTGAGACTCTGTCAAAGAACAACGCTTGGGCATGGGCTGGCTTATTGGGCTGAGACTTGACAATGGGCCACCAGCTGCCGGTTTCCTGATCGAGATAAGCAAAACCTGCTTTAGGGTTCTACCGCCATCCGAACGAGCAGAAGCAAGGGCAGCAATCAACTGAACCCATAACCATCTGCATTTGAAACGCGAACCAGACCAGCGTAAAAAGCATCGTGACACACAAATTCAGCAAGCGCAGCATCGAGCAAAGCAGCAGTGAATGCCCAAAATGCTGTAGTGAGTCAGGGGGCAGCGGAAGCATACCTCGGCCGGCTCGGCGTCGAATCCGCCCTGTATCGCCGTCCTGGAGCTCCAGAGGTCGAGCTGGAACCCTAGCAAATCTCTCTGAAGAGAAGAGGCGCCCAATCGGCGAAAATACGATCGATTGAGTCAGATCAGACGGGGGCGCCCGCCGGAAAGGCACAGCACAGAGCACAGCAGTTGGCAAGGTGGGCGGGGGCGGAGGTGGGGATGCAGTAGCGAGTAGGGCGGGGTTGCGGTTCCTATTTCTGTTGGGGACAGTACAAGAGGACTCGGCGTTCGGCGAACCGTGTGATCTCGGGCCCGATCTCGGGGTGTAGGCGATGGGCATGTTCTGTTGGTCGCTTCGTATCGTTGCTGGTTCGTTTACGTGAAAGAGAAGTATTGTTGGCTGGTTTATGTAAATAGTAGTCATATGAGAGGGCTGGCAAGCCAGCCCAGCGATCAGGCTGTTAGGTGTGAGTTGTTACAGAGGAAGCCTCGAGCCAGGATGCCCTGGCCGTGCAGGACCGAAGAAGTAAGTTGAACTCGTATAAGTGGTCGTGAATGACTGTCCAGTACGAGATGGGGTTATGTTTAGTTGCATACATGCATAAGTGTTTTAAGTGTCTGACGCATGGGTCCCTGTATCCTGAGTAAATCCATCCTGCATAGTGAGAAAAGAAGAAATCTAAAAAAAAAAAGTCGTGCAGGATAAAGGACAGATAAATATAAGGATTAAGACAGAAAGTGCGGGCAGGCCAACCACTAAACGGTGCGAGGACGGGACGATTCGGCCAACCAAACAAACCCTTAGCCCTTAGTGATCGCGGAAGGCGGCCCAACCTTGACAGGTGTATTTTGCGCCACCCGTTATTTTTTTTCCCCTAGGATAAATATACTGTCTCCGTTCAAAAAATAAGTGTAATTCTAGGGAGTATACTGTGTACAGCGAACTCAAATGCCCTGATCACAAAGGAAATGTTTCACAAATTGAAAGCTGTTTGTTCACCCAGATACAACCGCAAGATGCCACCGCCCAATCTGTAAAGGGTGCATAAGGAACCCTAAATTTGAAGAGACCTCTGCGAACTAGATTTCTAAATTCATCAATAATCATCAATAAGAACAAAAAAATGGCAAATGTTGTGAGCAACACGAACTGCCAAGATCCAGAAAGCAGTACGAAATTTAAACCGAATTAGCCTGTTGCCCACGAGATAAAGTGAATCCACATTTCATACATGGGAAGTTCAGAACAAGGAAATGCGATACAACTCATACTACTACTTGACCATGGCTCTAGAGTGATCGAACACAACAACCTGTAACAATAAGCACTACTGATAAGACTCTGAAATTAAGCACATGGGCCAGAATACTCTCGCCTCCTCGATTTCTTGACCGCGACCCAAGACTTTTGCCACGGCCACCAGCGGCGGGGGGCACCCCTCAGCCGCCGAATCCGTAGAGGGTGCGGCCCTGGCGCTTGAGCGCGTAGACGACGTCCATGGCGGTGACGGTCTTGCGGCGGGCGTGCTCCGTGTAGGTGACGGCGTCGCGGATGACGTTCTCGAGGAAGATCTTGAGCACGCCGCGGGTCTCCTCGTAGATGAGCCCCGAGATGCGCTTCACGCCGCCCCTCCTCGCCAGCCTCCGGATCGCCGGCTTCGTGATGCCCTGGATGTTGTCGCGGAGGACCTTGCGGTGACGCTTCGCGCCGCCCTTGCCCAGCCCCTTGCCGCCCTTGCCGCGCCCCGACATGGTCGCTCGAACTCTGAGGTGAGGTTGGGGATTGGGGATTTGGTGGTGGGATTTGGAAGAGATGAGTTCATTTGGACGAAGGCGAAGGGGTTTATTTAAAAGGCGTGCGGTGGGGTGCGGAGGCAGTCTGCGTCGTTCGATGAGCACGAGACGGACGGCTGGGAACGAGAGTTGGGTAGATGCCGCGGATCGCTAACGTGGTGCAGGGCGCGGATCGTTGAGTTGGCTAGCCTGGGGTGGTGCAGGGCGCGGATCGCTGAGTTGGCTAGCCTGGGGCTGGATTTTTCGGTTACTGGGCGCCCAAATTGAAGATTGATATCTGACAGGTGGGGACATGGTTCGTCTTGATGGATTGACAGTGTTTTAGGCGGGATCATTTTCTTTTGAGCCAACTTTTGGCGGGATTGCCTATGGTTAATTTGGTATGTGTGCATGCGCCGTACTCTCTGTGCCTTTTTAAGCGGTCAAACTTTTTTAAGTTTTATTACTAGATTAAAAAAATATTAATAATATTTGTATCTCCAAATAAGTATATTATAAAAATATATACAACGATTAATCTAATGATACTTATTGTGCATCATCAATATTAGTAATTTTTTATATATAATTAGTCAAAGTTGAGTATGTTTGACTCTATTTGTGAGAACAACAGTTAAAAAATGAACATAGTAAGCAGTATTGGTTTTGCCATAATGTTTAGGGTCTGTTTGGTTTCTTAGGAGCTCCTAAAATTTCTGTCACATCGAATGTTTGGACATATATATAGAGTATTAAATATAGATTAATTACGAAACTAATTGCATAACTTGCGACTAATTTGCGAGACGAATCTTTTAAGCCTAATTAGTCTATGATTTGACAACGTGGTGCTACAGTAAACATGTGCTAATGACGAATTAATTAGGTTTAAAAAATTCATCTCGCAAATTAGTCTCTATCTATGTAATTGGTTTTATAATTAATCTATATTTAATGCTCTTTATTAGTATCTAAATATTTGATGTGACATGAATTTTTAGGAGCGACTAACGAACCAAAACCCCCTTAGTCGTTGGCCGCACAATGTCACGTCACAAACTGTGACGACGCTGTAAAATATGTCAGTTGTTTGGTTGATGATTCAACCAAGGCAGCCACACAAATTTTGCAGTAGAAACACCATTAAGGGCATGTTTGTTTGTCTGAATTCTGGAGAAATTTATGAGAGAAAAATACTGTTTCAGATAAAAAAAATAAGCGGATCAAGTCGGATTTAAGGGCACACAAACGGGGCCTAAATCTTTCCATTGAGTGTGGCATCGCCGCACCTTGGGTGTGGTCAGTGGTGGCGGCAGCACACACCCTTTGAATGTAAAATGTCTGCAAATTTTTGAAGGTAAAATATGGCTAGCAACCAAACACATCAAAAACATAAAATTATGGCATGTTTCACCACAACAATGCTTAGGATTTGAAGTCCGCACACAACCACTCCCGATCTTTGTACCAAAATACAATGGCCCAACTTAGCATGGGACTCGGTCTATCATAAATAAAACAATTCGGCTCCGCCCTTGTGGTGGGGATAGAGTGGGTCCGGTGCCCTCCCTGTCTCCACCGTTCAATTCACCTGGCATGTCTTCCTCAAATAAACGAAGAGTAACTACAACCAAAGTTTGTATGGTCCAGTAAAAATTGTTGGCTCTATGCATGGTTCGATAACTTGTGTGAAGGAGAAGAATGTGTCTAGCCTGCTATTCACAGGGGGTGTTTGTTTCTCTAGGCGCTCCTAAAATTTATGTCACATCAAATGTTAATAGGTTAATAAAGAGTATTAAATATAAATTAATTACAAAATCAATTACATAGATGGAGGCTAATTTTCGAGACGAATTTTTTTAAGCCTAATTAATCTATTATTAGCACATGTTTACTGTAGCACCACGTTGTCAAATCATGGACTAATTATGCTTAAAAGTTTCGTCTAGCAAATTAGTCGCAAGTTGTGCAATTAGTTTCGTAATTAGTCTATATTTAATACTCCATGCATGTGTCCAAA